GAGGGGGGGGGGGGGCATTCACACCTATATTTCCTACAGCAGGAATCCCTTAGCTGCCATTTACAAGCGGTAACTATCATAAGATAAGAATTATCACAAGATAATTTAAGAGGGTGTGTTTAGTGGCGGAGTTAAGGCTGGGGAAGGGTAGGGGTTAGGTGGGGCAACTAGTGGCGAGTAACTCTTAAGGCCTGGCTAGTAGCTAAGGACTTGAAATTTTGAGCCCTGGCCTTTATTAATATATTAAAATCGGTTACCTCGGGCAATAATCTAAAACACATGGCTATTAGACATATCTATCTACTGCTATTCTTGCTATATGAATAACTCTACCAGTTATGACAATTGCTCTGCTACTTTCTAGTTAAGTTTGCTGGGAGCTGACCCAGGAAGCAGTAATACATGACAGAGATAATGATGTTTACTGCACTATGCAATGAGCACGAACCAGGCATTTGATATGTATAAATCGGGAACTGCATGGGCCACCTATCTGGCTGTGCAATTTGGAAAATGTATGTGAATATATTTCAATTTATCAACCTACTTCCTATTACCCAAAAAAAGCATTTGACAGAGTAGACTCTCTCAACCTAACCATGTCTCACTCATCAATACAATAATGGACCTCTATACTTCACACTCAACCAAGTTAATACAAACGACTCCTTCTCCCATCTATTATTATTCTCCAATGGAACCCAACAGGTCTCCAACCTCTCATATAGTAACTTACTACAGAACATTAAGAAACAGTCCTGCATAATAATCCGTTCAAAATTGGTCTCACAGAACATAAACTTGCACTTTGTGCAGACAACCTGCTAATGTATGTCATAGCTCCCAGAACCGGCCTTCCAGTCATTTTAAAAGGAATTTAAAAGATTTGGAGACGTGAGAAATATTAAAGTGACCCTCAACAAATCAGAACTCCTAAACACATTTCTAACTGATCCAGTGGTGGTTTCCTTCCATTTCTCCACTAGAATATCTTGGACAACAAATTCCTTCTACCGTTTCCTCTAAACTAATGCTCCTGGCCTCAAAATAAACATATTTTGCAAATAAGATGCAATTATGTCACAAGAAGATCTACAATCCTATTGCTCTGCTATGGGAAGCATCTGGCTCTTTCAGTTTCTCAGCTTTTACAAAGCACTATCCCTTCAAGCACAGTTACATAGGCTGCTCACTGCCTTTGAGACACTTTGCTCTCAATCCTAAGTCCTACCACACAAGATCTTTTTACTATATCAATTACTATTAAACCAAAGTGCAAACAAAAGATCGAAAGAGGATTGGATGAAGGCATTCACATTCATTCATACCCGCTCAATTTCCAGTAAAGCGCTGTTTCAAAACTCTAAAATCCTTACTAGATGGTATTACTGCCCAACCTGACCGCATAAAGTCTTCCCCCCCATGTCTGACAACTGCTGTCACTACCTTAGGGGGGATTCAGGATTCATATGCAGTAGGGTCACCCACCAATTAAAATTTACTTTGCGACAAAATTCTTGCTCTTTATTACCATCATGCGAGCATTCCAAACTCCTTGAAACCCACTCTGCTTTCCATACTTGCAGGCTCAGTTATCTAGCAAAAAAACAGCTGAGAATTTTTGTTATAGCAGTAAGAGAAATGTTTCAAAAACATTGGAAATCTATAATAGTCCCCTCACTTGCTGAATGGGTTGAAGCCCTTTATGACATAATGAGAATGGGACAACTAGTGGTCCAGGATAATGACAGGACAGGGGCTTTCAAACATAGTTTGGACTCAAGGATTATTTTCAGTTATTCTCCCAAATTCCAAAACTACTTTCCAACAAACCACTTAGCATATAACAGACACTGTTGTGCTGCCCAAAACCCCATTCCGCAAACCCTCCCAATCGTATCCATAACATTTTTTTCCCTCTCTTTATCTGCTTTCTTCTCTAGAGATCTCCTTTTTTTCCCCCGTACACAATATTATCACTAAAGTCACTTGAAAACCAACAGGACACAATGCAGGATACATTAAATGCCAACATAGTTTATGACGATGACAACACATAACAACTGCTTTAATTCTACTTCTTGTGTTGACACACTAATCTCACATTTTCTTTCCTGTCAGACAGATGTATGTACTGCCCGTTTGTCTTTAAAAAACCGCCCAAAAATTGTAAAGAAAACATGCATTTTGTTCAGCTATTGCAATGATTTTTGTTTTACTGGTTTCAGGCTGCAATAGTTCGTGTACAATTGAACATACACAAAGTACAGTTCCTAAATGTGGATTAATAAAGTCTCTGCATAGATAAAGATGTTGTAACATTACTTCCTCCTTTTCGAAAATACACAATATATTGCAGATTGTTACAAAATCTTGTCACTGGCAACTTGTCAGCTGGCAAATTATGTGGGTGGGAAACCATATATATTAAAATAAAAAGGAACTCACCTGTTGCGAGATATATAGGATGTTGTTGAGAGGGGCTCCAGGTCTGCATTGCAGTGCGATCAATCTCTTTTAGCTTCATTCTGTATTTAGGAAAAGAAAACACTGAGGATAAAGAAAATCTTAATTGCCGTGTGGAACTTTAAAAAAATATATACATACAAATACTTGTGGTATACTGTAGAATTATTTGTTCACATTGAGCCGTAATTACTGATAAATAAGTAAACAACAACTAACGGTGTTGCACACAGAAAGCAAGAAAGAATGACGGAGAAGGGAGAGGTGGAGAGAAGAAAATATCTGGTCGCTTTGTACAACACAGTAAGACCATTTGGTCATGACACTAGTATGAAGAGTATACAACACACAGTAAGTTAAAGGATAGGGTGCCTTAAGACAACGCCCCTCAGCGAATGAAAATACTTGCATTACCATGTGAATGGAGTCCTAACATATAAGAGCAATACAGATATATATCACAAACGTATATGTAATAAGTAATTTTTTTTTCTGTGTGGAGTGGTGCATTATATGACAGAAATGCAGGGGTGCCAAGATTTTTGGCCATGACTGTATGTCACTGTAAACCTTATTAGAACAGGTGATTTGCATGTATTCAGGAACAAATTCAGAGATAAACAACAGTGCTGGGGCACCCCAAGGACATGATCGTCTGCTGATCAAGTGGATAGGCTGCACTGGCAGACCATTTCATGCCTATGGTATCCAATACCAGCTCCAGCTGAATATCCTGAAAAGGATACAAGCAATGGATAAACCGTATGTGATCACTATAATTGCCCATTTTTTTAAATCCAGCCCTAGGGGAGAATGATGCAGCCTACTCCTACAGCCTCCTGACATATCGCCACCACATATCCCAGGAGGCTTCAGGGGTCGGGACACAGAGTGGCTAGTGGGCGGAGCTGTGTGTGTCATTGGGGGCTGGCTGTCTGAACCCAGAAGAGGCAGACACCAAGATGCTGGCCGAGAATCTGGCTGTTTCACCTGAACATTGGATTGTAGTGGGACAACACTGGATTCGCTGGGCAGGTGAGTATGTGATTTGAGGACAATGCTGCACAAAAAGTAGGAGATGTTAAAAAAATCCAAGGGGGAGTGAAGTTACACTTTATGTGCATTTCTATGGAGAATGAGTCTTTGTCAAGATGCAGCAGAAATGCTGCTTATACAATTTTTAAATAATGCCTCACACAAGGGTAATTGGAGCCATAATGTTCCATCTGCATTTGCTGTGATATAGTGGGTAATTACGCTGGCACTAAGGTTTCTTTCTTTGATGGAGTATTTCTATTATGTAAGATAGCAAGGTTTAATAGAGATGTCCTGGGGTGGTAGAGGTGCAAACACTGCTCAAAGAAACATTTTAATTGTTCTGAAAGGTTCTCTGTCCCACAGTTTATCACCAAACTTCACAAAGAGATGGAAGACTTATAACTGAAGATAATAGAAATAATTTAAAGACATAGATTTAAAAAAAATAAAAAGGCAGGCCATCATGCAGACCTGGGCCTATTTATTTATAAAAACTAGGGATGCACCCATATATCGGCCGAAAATAGCACTTTTGGCACAATGCTGAAAAGTGCAATTTTCCTGCCGATACATCGGCATATCCCTGCTTTCTTTCCTCCTCGCTGGGACACAGAGCAGCGTCTGAACAAGGAGAGAAACTGTGATAGCCGGCCGAGCATTGCGGGAGGAGAGCGCTGTGATCGGCCGGCGTCTCATCCCACACCGCTCAGCCTCCTATCACAGTCCGGCAGAGCGGTGTGTGGGCGGGTGAGCTGTCCTCCCTGCTCTGCTCGCTCAGCCCCCTGTGACAGCGTGCCAGAGAGGAGAGCAAGGTACAAACACTCAGTGATCGCTGAGTGTTTGTAGATAAGTGAGGACATGGTATGTGTACTATATCCTCAAATATGAATGAATGGGAAGTGATCTACATCACCTCCTGTTCATTCATAATTGTGGTTATAGTAAACAAACAATGCTCTCATGTTATCAATGAACAGGAACACTCAGAGGATTTCTGTTCATTAAAATTTTTTTTTATTTCGGTTTTAAAATTTCCATTTCGGTGCACCTCTAATAAAAACTGAAGCAAAACAGGAATTGCTACAGGCAGGCACTGCAACAGACATACTGGTTTATTTTAAAGCCCAAACTTTCAGTTGAAAGGGCAATTTCACTGCCCCAGGCGAATTTGGGAAAATGGAATTACCCCCACCAATCTGGCCCCCTTATTTCCCCCCCACTGCTGTCCTTACCTTTGGCCGAACGCTCCTTCCCCTCTGCCCATGTACTACCAGTGCACAGCAGGGCACCCTGTGCTCTGTATTTTAATATTTAATCTAAGCAAGAAGTGCTTCTCATTGGTCAGCACAGTCAGATGACTGCACTGACCAATAAATGTTGCTTGCCATTTGCAAGCGGAATTTATAATACAGTGTGCACTGCTCTGTACAGAGTACGGGTAGTACACCGGTGGATTGGGGGTATGAGTGTTCGGCCAAAGGTAAGTAGGGGGGGCAGATTGGAGAGGGTAATTCCATTTTCCCCTGTGAAAGTGGAATTATTTAAATCAGCAACATACATTCCGGGTGCATCAAAAGATGTGCATAATCTTAGTTTGATTTCCTAAACCACAGCCTTGAGTAGAAAAGCCTGTCCCTGCTAGTATGCTGTAGATGAGAACCCTTGCTCTGTGTGTGGAGGTCTCTCTGTTGAGGTCAAAACGCGCCCCCCCTTTGCCGAGTTATAGCCTGAGCTCTCCAACTTGTAGAAGCATGATCTTTGCTTATTGCAAAACTATATGTATGACTCTGCAGGGGTGTGTATTGTACATCTGAAGAGAGACCACTGCTCCAACACGCAGACCAAGTGTCCATCTATGCAGAATCAGGCCTTCTACTTGGAATGTGGCTGCTTTTCATTGTGAGTGTGCCATGATGCCTTTCTACTGTACCACTGCTTTTCATCTGAGGCGCCTGAACTGTATGTAGCTGATGTAAACTTACAGTTCAGTTAGGTTTTAAAGCAAGATGATCAAGAAAGAAATATATGGGGATACCTTTGCTGGCGCCCTTTCATGGATGCTAGTTGCCTATCTTGCATATTGATTCACTAATCGAAATCATTTCTAAGCCACTAACCCCAAACAGGTAAAAGGATCATGAGAGTCCTTATCTATTGCATAATTATTTAAAGTCACAGTTTTGCACCAAGAAGGTCATCTGACCAGCAATAAACTAGTGGCTTTAGAAGGAGAGATCAGCAATGGCTGTCTCCAGGTTTCTCTCACAAGCTTCCTATAACCTCTGTCATTTCATGGGGGTAGAACGTAAACAATGAATGAAAAGGGAATGTTTGCAGAGAGTCATAAATGGGCCCCCACTGTTGACCTCCATCCTGCTTGTACAGATGTGAATATGCAGCACGCTTTCAGGGGTTTTCTGCTTGCATCCAAGATACTTTTGTGTTCCTTTTTACACGTTTTCTCAATCATGCTGAATTGTATGGTGAGAAAAGCAGTTGTGTGCACATTTCCTTTGCATCAGAAGTCTACTGAAAATTCTAGTTGCATGGCTGCCTTTGACCACATTGTTTTGATTCAATAGAATACAGTAAATAATTAAAAACATAAATGGCAAGGACAAAAATGATTGGACCATTAACCTAATACTTTGGTGCACAACCAATGGAGGCAATCACTGCAAACAAGTGATTTCTGTAGCTGTCAATTAGACTTCTGCACTGGGTAACAGGTAAGGTGCCCATACACTGCACGATTCTCGTACAAGAATTGCTGTAAATCGCACGATCGTACGATAATCGTGCAGTGTATGGAAGGCGTGCGACCGTTTCTACGGTACGGTCGCACGGCTTTTGTATTTCGAGCGTGTTGGAAAACCAGCCGGGAATCGTATGATTTTCGGCAGGTTTGTAGCATGATCGAGAGATAACTGCCGAACGGGCAGGTGTGCGCACACTGCTCGTTCAGCATTGCAGTCATCGGAAGCCCGCCCCGCAAGTACGATCTGCAGGGCTTGAAAAATCCACTCGTCCGCAACGAGAGGACGGTGGAGCCCGACGAGCAGCTTCCCGGCCGGCCGTTGTAATTACACGGCCGGCCGGGAGCTTTACATTCAAGCGACTGGGCATCTCTAGAGACGCTTGATCGCTTGTATTAGCAGCTGTCACTGCCGTTGCCGGGCCCTAGATCCGCTGTGCCCAATGCGGCCGGGACCGGCACAGCTCTGTGACAGGAGATCAAAAGGGAGATCAATTCAGATCAGGGCTCGTAGAAGGCCACTTCAGAACAGTCCAGTGTTTTGTTCTTAGCCATTATTTTTATCTGTGTGTGTTTTGGGTCATTATACTGTTCAAGGACATATGACTGGCAACTGAGACTGAACTCCCTGACACTGGGCAGTATGTTTTCCTCCAGAGTTCCTTGATAGTCTAGAGATTTCAATATGTCATCCACAGACTAAAGGCCCCTAGTACAAAACACAGCAAACTATCCCCATACATAACTGAGCCTCCTCCATTTTTCACGCTTCCTCTGAGCTCGGTTGCTCAAAAGGATGGATGGTGTGGTAAGAGACCAATGGACCTTGATGTGGAAGTTCAGCTCGTTATCTCTTTGGAAGTTTTCATTGACTTTTGTCTACCCTTCACAATAGCCTTCTGTTGAATTTAAGGTTGATTTTGTTTTCTTGTGGCCATGTCCAGGAAGGTGGCTACAATCCCACGGACCTCAAACTCCTTAATATTTGCAACTGTAGTCACAGTTAGGTCAAGCTGCTTGGAGATGATCATATAGCATTTACCTTTGACTTGCTGCCCTATCATTTTCTTTCGGAGCTCCTCAGCCAGCTCTCTCCTTTGCTTTCTCTGGGCAATGTTCAGTGTGGTGCAAATGATGATGTCAAAACAGCAGAGTGACTACTTTGCTCCATTTAAATAGGATGACTGACTGATTACATGATTAAAGTCATGTGCGATACTACTTACAGAAAAGTTAGTTTGAAATATCACTATGATTAAATCATTTAGGGCTTGTTCATACTAGCTGCACTGTAAAACACTGCGTTAGTGCTGCTGGGTGACCGCAGTACGCCACAGAGCATTGCATTGTCACTGTTTAGTTTTGTTTCTTTGTGTAACTTTATTTGGAGTGTACAAAGTTTACACACCAATCATGTCGCCAGCGCTTTACATTGTACCGTGGTGACATCCAGTGCACAGCAAAAACAATGTACGTGAATCAGTTTTTATGTGCCCTAGTGGTGACTGGCGTCGCTTAAAATCTTTTCTAGGGCTTCCAACACATCTGTCCAGGCCATTTTAGAATACCATTGTGCAATAAACAATGTATCCCATGTCACTTTCTTTGCTGCACTCTATGACATGTCAAAAGCATGCAGGTATACATGACACAATTGTTTTTAATTGCAAATTAAGGATTCAATGAGCTGTATAGGTACCAACAACTGTATCCACATCTACCTATGCTTGTTGCAAGATAGTGAATGTTGTAGTCATAAGATCTGCATGATAGCCAGGAAATAGTGCTTCCAAAGCTTCAGTATCTTGGTGGTCGGCCTCGCTGGCTCTCAAAACACCTGAACAATGCCTGCATCCAATCAGATTGTTCAGATATTTTGACAGCCAGAGGGGCCGACTAGCAAGCTTGGCCCAGTGGGAGATTCCTCCATCCACACAGTTTAGCGTAGATGGAGGAATCTGTTGCACTTTTTCCAACTGCCCACAGAAAATCTGCAGATAATCTATAGGTGTATGGCCAGCTTTAAACCTGTCCCTAGAAAGTTTCTCCCCCTCCTCTAGTCTAAGGTCCAGTAAGTCATCACATCTACACACTATGCCAGTGGTGGCGGACCTTGGCACTCCAGCTGTGCCAAAACTACAAATCCCAACATGCATCTGCCTCTGGGAGTTAATTCTATGGCTGTCAGAGCCTTGCAATGCCTCATGGGACTTGTAGTTCCAAAACAGCTGGAGTGCCAAGGTTCGCCACTACTGCACTATGCATAGACCTGAGGAACATTCCAATGTGCTGCGGAGGAGGGGACAGAATGCAGGGATGCCATGACAGCTGGCACGCTCACAGCTTTCGGTGAAGATAACTTTGTTATTTTAACACCTAGACACAAGCCCTTAACCCTTGCAGTGCGGGTGTAGCACCACTGCAAGGGTTAATACAAATTCCTGGAGTTCTTCTTTAAGGTAACCATAATTGGAAAAGTATCTAACACATTCTACAGTGATTTCAAACAAAAAAAGAAACAGGCTGGTCTGTGTCAGATCAGAGTAACAAGTGACATATTCCCAGAGTCTCTTCCGATTACAAGCTTGAATCGGTTATTATCTGAGTCACAGGCAACTGCAAAAGGTCATAATTCCCATCTGACAGCCCAGCTCTGAAAATGGAGTTGCTTGTATAAAATATCTAAAGACATCCTTGCAATCCCTCAATGAAGCTGGAGATGTTGCAATGGTGGGGAGAGGTGTCACTGCTATGGATCTAGTCTTGTTGTCACTGACAGAGCGGAAGGCAGGACTTTGACTGAACACAGCAGTTAGTCCAGTCAGCAGTACACAGCAAAAGATAGTGTAATAACCCAGCTGAAAGACATGGCTGCCTTATCGTAGCGACAACCTGACAATCATCTGGGTGACAGCAGATGTCAACCAATACTTCTCTACCAGTGCCAGCCTGAGCAGATATTTCATAGCGGATCAGCAGCTCTCCCATGCTCACACGTACAATGGATGACCTGATCTGCCATAGACGCAAGCAGGAGATGGGTGTAGGGGCCCTGCAAAGAATGCCCATGTCCCCCAGGCACTCACCTTCCCACGGATGAGGCTGCACGGAACGTAGTATAATGTTATGAATGGCGAATGCTAGGGATACAGCTGGCACAAAATGAGACGGGTAGCAATGATAACTCGGCACCCGGTCCTGACACTTTCCGCCCCAACAGCCGCAGCTGATCACCCCTGGATGTCTGGGATAGTCTGGTGATCACGGCCTCTTCCCTGCCCGGCTCCTGTGCCTCCGACTCCGCCTCTCCACGTCCAACTCAACGTGGCAGCACAGACTCCACCCACACCGGCTTCATACTCCACTGACACGCAGGCGGCTGCCTTTGAAAGTGCCGCATGTTTGTTTTAACACTATTCCGTTCTACAATGTTGTTCTTGAGTCATTACCTATAACTGTATCCACATATAATATTTATAACCGAAGAGAATCCTATGAACCAATTTTATTTCATTATACCATAAAAGACTGTAGCGGAACTAAACTGCCAGTCGTAAACATGGCCTTAAGCGGTATTAGTCATAGCTGCACTTCCGTTTCCTTGTTGGCAGCATTTCCTGTTTCCTTTTACGGATGTGACGTGCAGACGCACTAGAACGTAGAACCTCGTGTGTGAGAGGTGGACGGCCATTTCTACTCGGGTGGCGGAGTGTGCGGAGGTGAGTGGGGTTTGTCCTGGCTGCTCTCCTATTAATGTTGTTTTAGGTCTTAAATACGTCAGTGTAAGAAATAAGTATACGTATTACCATTACTTCTGTGACAACAAGTGGCATCTGATGTCAGATCTCCATTGTGTTCAGCATTCTGGCAATCAGTTCTTTGAAAGAAGGCAGACCAATATTATATCGGCTGTAATTAAGAGTGCTCAGTAGTTGACAAGCTGGATGCTACCTTGTACTTTATTCAGGTAGCTATGTGCACAATGGGGTTGAGTTATTAATAGGCCGTTCACTTTGCAAGGGAATTTGCACTTTGCAGAATTTTCCTTTTCAGTTCCGAGATTATTCGTATTTTATTCCATCTTGTTTGTGATTTTTAGATATTCTTTGCAAAGGGAATTTCCATCATTCTCTCAGCTAAGGGGAATCTTCACCTGCAAAGTGAGCAACACCATTGTTGGAATGATCTAGGTAAAGGAAATATGTTCATGCATTCATTTTGGTGGGGGATTAAGGAAAATAAGGGCTCGGATAGAAACATCTCAAGCAGTAGTGATCAACCTTCATGATACATGGCCCCTGGCATTACTAAAGGGCAGCTCATATTCAGTGAATGTAAAACTACAGAAATCTGTTATGGACTGCTGACATATAACAGTATGTGGTCAAAGGCTGCCGAAAAAGACAACCTTTCTAGGTGTGGCGGGAGAACATGCTTCAGGAGACGGTACTAGACCGACGATGCATTGCACAAGATTGTTAAGGCTGCTTTACAAATCAATGCTCCAATGTTTGTGCCTCCTACAGCCCACTTACTAATTACTTGTGCCACAGCAAGATCTTTTCTAAAGAAATCTGAAATGGGATGGACCGTGCAGAAAAAAGCGTGCTATAAACCTAAACCAATTATTAGACAGTCTAAAGAATATGTTCCCCTTGTTGACCTAAATAAGGTTTAAATAAAAACCTAGGGAAGGAATTGCCAAAATAAACCTAGGTAAGAAAAATACTGACTGACTGTAGACCTCTGAGAACTGTCCAATAGGTGCCAAAGAGCCACCCGTTGGGCACCAGGGATCTAACACTGTATATATCCTAGATTTCATCTTTTTCTGGACAGGGAGAAAACAAAACTTTAGTGATCTGCTAGTTTGGTGATATCTGCCATCTGCAAATTAAATGGGCCAGAAATCAATTTTAATATCCTCAGGCAATGGGGCTTGGTAAGTGAGGAGTGAGTTCCACAGCGCAGGATATAAATGTGAGAAGGCCTGTGCTGCTTATGAGTGGATTCTGGAACTCATTGGCATAGTATGTAAAGGCAAACCTTTTTTTTAGTATTGGATATAGTTGGGTAGGGTTGGATTTGTTCGTATTGCTGTCCATGTCTCTGCTAGGGAGATGTACCCCCTTCTCTATTTTGCCTCTATTAGGCCCCTGTTCACACCCAGGCATTTTGTCACGCATAAAAACACACAAAACAAAAAAATCCCATTCATTCTTACGGCCCCCGTTCACAGCTTAGTGTTTTGTTGCAAACTGTAAAATGTCTGTCGACTGGAAAAAGTGTGAGCTTTTTTGGCAGATCACAGCGTGCTTTGTCCCAAATAGACTCAATAGGAAACGCGCAACACAATTTGTATGCACGTTTGCCTAATTACACCAGTGTGTCACAATCTGCCCGCTAGAACATGCAACTCAATGTACGTGCATCTGACCTGCACCACAAATGTGCAGAGAAAACACTGTCTAGGTGTGAATGCAGCCTTAGGGCCTGTTCACATGAGTTTCAGGTGCGGATCTGCAGACGCGGTGCTACTGATGAAAATCGTTTTTGCTGCGTTCCAGTAAAAAAAAAAACATTTTTTTTGCTGGGGTTGGGCTGTTAGCTGCAGTGCTTTTTGGGCGCGTTTGCGTTTCCTGACCGTACAAAATGTGACATGCAGTATTTTTCTGTCGTAAGCTGAACAGTCCGTTCAGCTTACGTGAGAACTGTAGCCCATAAAACGCATTGGGATGCATTTTGAGTGCCGGAGCGTACGGATCAGGTCGGCACACAAAATGGACGTCGTGTGAACAGGCACTTAGTCTCCCCCAGGGAAATATTGTCTGCAGTATACTGGCTGTCATAGGTAAACTACATTGGGGGGGGATTTACCAAATCTGGAGCAAACAGAATTTGGAGCAGTTGCCCATGGCAACCAATCAGCATCTCTCTTCAGTTTGCTCAGGTAAGGTTTGAAAATCAGACAGAGAAGCTGATTGGCTGCAGTGCAAATCCGCTCCACATTTTGTCTGCTCCAGTTTTGATAAATTCTCATGTTTACTGGAAGTTTAAAAAGGTGATGTGACACTTTATGGTAATTGACCATACTCTTGTCTTCCCCTTTTTTTGCCAGGAAAAGCAGGTGACCAGTTTAACATGTGGGCTAATGTTGGAAGTAGCCATTTATCTGTAAATGATGGAAGAAATGGCTGGTTATTTGCGTGTCCTCTATATACGTGAGGACCACAAGGGAATCATCTAGTGTGCACTGTGCTTGAAATACATATACATTTTTTTAAAGGGTTTCTGGGTACCTGGATTTTTTTTTTTTTTTCCATTCTACAATTCCTTTAATAGTGAAAATGCGTGGCTAAAGCTGGTCATACACTGTAATACTTTCTTCACTCAACTTGAGGGTGAACAAAGAACATATAACAGATACCTCCATGAATGCTTACAAGCGTTGGATCGAGGAATCTCCCAATGTCTACATTGTATCCTGACTGCTCTGTTCGAAGATTTCCCAACCAGCTCCTATCAGCTGATCAAGAGATGCCGGCCGAAAGGGTGCGGACAGTGGCACCCACTGTGTGAATTTTGTGAGACTTGCATAGTGTATGTCCAGCTTTATTCAGGTTGCTGCGATTTTGTAATAGTTCCACATCCAGTGATTAAAATATCATTGCTGTTCACATCATGAGTGCTGTGATTATTCATTTTTGATATGAGGATGTTGGAATGTATTATATTAGGGGGGGCGGCGGCATAGTTTTCTATGAAAATTTTTAGTAATGGAAAACTTTTTTTAACACAGATGTTATCTGGAACCCAAGAATGGTCTACTTGCATCATGCGTTTATTTTTTGGAAGAAAGTTGCTTGAGCTTCACAGGCCTCCATGATGGTCCTCTCCATGATCTACTTTGTTTGCAGAAGCAGAATGAGCAGGTGGGTAACAAAGATGTAAACAGCTCTGGCTTTCCTTGTTTAGAGCAAACCCGATGTGCTGGCTGCATTAGTCCTTCTTTTTTTTTCCGGCTTTTGTTCCCTTTTTTACCTTCTAATCCTGTAAATAACACACTTCCTGTCCCTGGGGGCCTATGATTACTCCTCCACTGTATCTACGGATGTACCCATGCCTGTCTCTGAGGCTTAACATCCAACATGTCTGCTTTTCTTATCTCTATTACATGGGAGTTGATGATTAGTAAAATACAAAAGATAATGTTTTTCTATCTGTTCAGCTTACATGAAGCAACATGTAAGCTGAACATTCCATTGCTGGAAAAGTCCATGTATTTTCTTTGTGTGATAAACTAATACAGCCACCACATCTAAGGACTGGTGGTAAACTGCAGTTTATTGCATTTTTGTTCTTGGGTTTAGTTGTGCTTCAATGTCCAATGATGATACCCTTACTGCTGTTCACATTATGACATGAATTGTGAATTAACATTAAAGTGGCTGAGGACATTCTAACTAGTGCAAATACCATTTTCAGACATGATCATATCTCATTTCAGTTTAGAAAGCACGGAGTGCTTTACAATCTGGATGCACCCTGTGTTTAAATATTTGTAAGTAAAGATAATAAACCAATACCAAAAAATGACACATACCTGCAGTAGCTCTTATTCTCCACAACTGCATTGATGCTATGCTTTTCTGAACAACTAAACTCAACTTCCAGGTAGAGAGCTTGGCCCCACATTACTATTGGCCAGCCACTATAATGAGCTGCCTTGTTGGCCAAGTGGAATGAGTGGGGAAGCTCCAACTACACATTTACTACAAAATTCCCTAGCCCACTAAGCTAGTTTTAGAACCCCACTTCTGTGCGAACTCTCCTTTATGGAGGCGGTAGCTTTTACATCCTCTGTGCAGTAACTCCCCATAACCTTAGTGACACTAAACTCAAGATTTAAATGTTAAAAATGCATTCAAGTACCTCAACTATTAACAAAAATGTATCTTATTAGTGTATCACTCGGCTGTAGATCTTTAAATCATCTCTGAATTGGTGCTGACACTGTCCTTCCTTCTGGAGGGTGGCTACTTTTGTTCCCCCTGGGCCCTGTGTGTGTTGTAAAGTAGGAGCAGTGGCTACTTTAGGATTAAAGTACAATTTTTAATTTGAAAGTGGACAAAACAGCACCTTCTCCTTGTGAAATAGTTT